TCTGTTGTGCTTGTCAACCTCTGCAGGCCTCTTCTGGTAACGGCTGCAGTTAGGGGACACCCATGACCTCCTGCTCCAAGGGCTGACGGTCTTGATTTTAAGTTTATCAGCCACTAAGAACCTTAACCTAGGTGTGGTGCAGCAGTTTTGTTCTGGTTTCACTGTCTGTGCCTCCAGGTTTTACTTGTTGTCCTAATTAATTAATTTAATGTCATGGTGAAATCATGGCTTTATTGTTATTTATAATTAGGTTTCTGTGTGAATGTAATATTTTGTGTATTTTTCCATTATTGATGTGTAAACATTCAATTCATTACCTGTGTGTCTTGATAAGTAGACGAAAGTTAAATTAAACACATTTCTGCTGTGTTTATTGAAAATGATCAATAATTCTTAATATTGACTGATCTAAAACACTTTATTGTGGTATTGTTTTTAGTTATATCACCCAACCCTGTGCATGATGTCAATTGTACATCAGAAAGACTCCCAACAGAAAGTCCTGCATGACTGCAAAACATTAATAAAATGGTTACTACTATAACTAAACATTGTTATAATGGCATACGTATTTTCAACCACTGATGTGTTTGCTTTGAAAAGAAGTCTTCTTTGTAATTGTGATATGTTAGAGTTTATTTTCACACATCCAACACTGAGCAGCTCTGGACTCAAAAATGCAGAACAACAAACAAACACAGATCTGCAGTTTAACATCGATTTCCCTGGTTTTGATTTGGCCGAGCCACAGCACCTGATGATATCATAGCAGGCAGCATCGCAGAAAGCCTTGGGCTTGGCTGTGCAAAGTAAACATCGCTTGAAGAGGGAACACAGTGCCATCTGCCTCGTGACACAATAAGGGAATGATTAGACTGCTATTGCTGTGTAAATGGATGATAATGCGGATGATATGAGTCGTGATTATCAGCAGCCCATTTGAGGGTAAAAACCAAACAAAATGCTCAAACTAAATGTTGAAATCATACAGTCGATCTGATTATTTAAGTGGAATGTTTGCACAATAATGTGGATATACTTTGACCTCTCTACCAGCTGTTTGTATTTAATCATCAATCGCAGTAGAAACTGAAAATAGAGCCAATACTGAACATTGGGAGCTTCACAGAGGTATTATATTGTGTTGGATTGTGCTGTATTTTGCGGATATTGTTACGTACATCAGAGTGAATTGATGTAATCGTAACTGCAGTGAGCTCAGGATTTTGCAGTCATTTGTCCTCTTCTTCATCTGTTGCGTTTTTGATGTGTAATAATCAGCTGCTGTGTTTGCTTTTCATGGTAGTTGGAGTGATGTTGATTCGTGGATATCTTCTCTCCCTCTCTAAACCAGGCCACAATCGGGATTGACTTCCTGTCGAAAACTATGTACTTGGAAGATCGAACGGTGAGAACCTAAATTACATCTGCTTGATGTCATGACGGAGGTGCTAAATGTTTATGTGTCAGCAGTGCAACAAGTCATCTCCTCAGAGAGAAACACGACTGTACTGTATTGGTGTTTGTCTCTGCAATAATGTATCGCATGCATTCAGACTATTAGGCAGTGCGGACGAACAGCATGTCATCTTTGTAGCTTTCTAGATGAATCAAATCAAACCTGTCTGCTGTTTGTCTGTTTATCTCAGAGAATCTATCATAAAGCAGTGCGACCTTGGAAATGAAGCGCCCGCCGTATAAATAATGCCTGATTGTACATCTTGTCCTGTGTGTGTGTGTGTGTGTGTTTGTGTGTGTTGTATACGTGTGTCTGGAGGGAGCCGACTAAGTTCAGGCTCTCTGACTATCTGAATAATCTCAGCCTCCTCAGCTTTCTCTCTCTGAACCCCAGGTGAGGTTGCAGCTCTGGGACACAGCGGGACAGGAGCGCTTCAGGAGCCTCATCCCCAGTTACATCCGGGACTCCACTGTGGCTGTGGTGGTGTACGACATAACAAGTCAGTCCCCTAATGACACTTTTTTGTATTTCACACTAAGCTGTTTTTTTCTGTTTGTAAATGCATCTGTACACACATTCAAACTGACTTTTTCATTCCTTTGCTTCTAATTGTTCTCTCGCTACATTGAACACGTATCATTTGTGTCATTCATGGAGCAGATGTTCCGCGAAATGTTTCTTTTTAGTGGCTACGCCTACAGTACACGTACAGCGTATTCTTTAGTTTCGGGACACAGCACACCACTACAGAACTTCAAGTTTTTCACTGAGTTTGTGTAAAATGGGTAAGTCGTCAAACTACGGTATGTAAGTGAAAAGGATACTGAGCAATCAGTTGTTGGCGCAATAAATGTTAAGGGTGATCAAGATCCCAAAGTAGAAGGGCTGTTTGGTATATAATTGTCAGTTTCTGCATGCCTGGTATGTAAATAAATATAGACACTAGACCTATTTCTGTGTTACAATGTTGCACGCACCTCATGAACACTGATCTATTTTTGCATTCACTGACCAGATGGTGTAGCCAGTTTTATTGATTTTAATTGAAGCGATCCGCAAACGTTAAACTACATGTTCAGTGTAGCCACAGTGGTAAAAGTCCAGTGTGTAGTGTTTAGGGGGCTCTACTGGCAGGAATATAGTGTAATATAAAAAGTTATGTTCGAGAACTATTGTCTTTTTGTCACCTTAGAACACTGACTTTAGAGAGCACCTTTTACCGTTTTAGCGGCCATTGTAGGTTCTCCTACATACTTGGAAGTTGATGGAGAAGCGAAGGGTATTCAGTTAGTCACTATCTGCACCCTCACCGCAAGGTGCCACAAAATTCCACACACCGATCCTTTAAATGTCACTGTTTGTGAGACGATGTGACCGATTTTATTAGAGCAGAAAGATCCAAGATCAGGTTATACAAATGTCAAATATCTTCTTGACATTTCCCAAAAGTGAATTGAATCCACTTCACAAAGTGAAAAACTCATCACAAAAACCTCCCACCTTCTCACATTCTCTGAAGAACCAGTAATGACTGAAACTAATGAGTTATCAAGATTTTACGGCTTAGATCTTATGTTAGATTGTTGGTGGTTAAACAAATAAGCCAAATCAGCTGAGGCTGTGTGCATAAATTTAGAACAACAAACACCAGGGTCATATGTGTCTGGTTAAGCTGTTAGGTTAGTTAAAGTTAGCTTATGCCTTTCAGCTAATGAGAATCCAGTATTTGAAGTTGCCATGATACCATTTGCTTTACAGTAGTAAGTACAGTGAAATACTATTACTCAACGTGAGAACAAAAAATCTGAAAAACTACATGAATGTTTTTGAGTTGGTTTTATGAGGAATATTTTTCTTTTTAACATTTTCCTTTTGTAGATCTGCCAGTGACTTCTGTTTGACAGCTGAAAAAAAGAAAAGACACTCAACATGACTTGCCCCAAGGAAATGAATTTTTATTTCTAATTTTATGGTAAAACATGGGTTACCCTCCCATCCCCGCTAACCATGTTCTCTATTCACCTTGAAAATGACGTGGAGTCTTGTCTCATCAAATTCCCAGTGTACGAATGTGATACGACCCTTACTCTGCATGCCAGCGAGCCTGCATACTCAATGAACGAAGCAAGGTCAAAAGGATTTATTAAGACCTTTAACATGCTACAGAGCCAGGAACATGCACAGCTGTACATTGATTTATTGTGTAATTCCACTTCTGTGTGCATCATATAGTATCGTCTATCTATTAGCTAGTACTTCAAGATTAGAATTATGTATACAGAGAGAAGTTTTGTATAGACCCATAGGCGTAGATTTCAAGGGAGACACAGGAGAAACGTCCACCTCAATATTTAGAACATGTGCATTTGTCCTCTTCAATGAAAACATGAAAGAAACAGAAAGTTTTTATTTTGAAAAGCCACTATAATGTTACTGCAATGCCGTTGACGGGGACATTTTCTTTTTTCTTCAGCAAAATATGAATATAAATTAGGAGTTCACACAACGACTGAATCATAATTAGATCCATATATATCCTTTTGTATTTTGAATTGTCACCTGGTGCCTGAGTTACGTGTTTTTCTTCACATGAATGAATCCACTGAAGCTCACCTGGGCCTTCCAGGTTTTAAAAGCTGGCATGTGTGCTAGCTTTGTCTCTTTCTTCCATTAAACTGGCATCAGCTTTCTTATGTGTTTGCACCTCCAACACTTCCACAGCACACATGACGCACAGCCCTTGCTGCTAACTTCCACACTCTGTTGTTGTTTCATGTTGGTTTAATTTTAATAAATTTTAACTGATTTTTTAAAAATCTACTGTGTGTAATCCCTATCTGTTGCTTTCTTTGAGCCAGTTTGTGACAGCTGACGATACCAAGCATGACATTGTATAAAAATGTAATGTTTAATGTAACTGATGTTTTATTTAGTGGTTAATGTAATTTATGTTTTATTTAGAGCAGTGACAGCAGGACTTGTGTTACTGTACTCTATGTCACTTCAGCTGTATAAACAGTACTGTTATTTTAACTCTGCTCTGCTTCTTTCCTTTCTCAACAGACGTCAACTCATTCCAGCAGACGTCAAAATGGATTGATGACGTGAGAACAGAGAGAGGAAGTGATGTCATCATTATGCTCGTCGGAAACAAAACAGACTTAGCAGACAAGAGGTATGAAGTTACAAATGTACCTTCCTTGTATCACAGTTTGTCTTCTAGTTAGCATCTCTTATTATGTCCTGACACCATGGCAACCGTGATGTGCAAAGTGTCAGTCTGTCAATCTCTTGAACACAATAGCTCAAGAACAAAACATAGCAACAGCATCAGGCTGACTCCATGGGCTCCCCCTGCAGAGCAGACATCTTGATTAGATGTTGGAGCGTCTTGCTGAATAAATCTGTATTATAATGAGGTAGAAGTTATTATCTTGAGACCAGAATGACTCCATATGATTTTAATATTAATATCACTTTCGTGGAAGTAGGAAGGCAGGTATCAGAATTTATTGCTCGATACATAATATATCAAATATTCTAATGAGTACAGTCATTAGCATAACTGGTTATGTTTACTGTTTTTGTAGTAATTATGGTGGGACATTAGTCAACTCAGCTGCCTCTTACTGAAGCGCGTCTTGTCAAACCACTTGCTTTGAAACGAGTAATTTATTGCTTGCTTGAGGAAATCATTCAGTGATTTAGTCTCTGGTGACACTTCATGTGCTGTGTGCACAAGGGAGATCTTTTTTTATGCATATGTACTGCATAAGTAGGTATATAACCTGAAATTGAGAAAATGCTGATGAGACAGAATGTTTAATAGAGCTGTGAGATGGAAAAAATTGATTTGAAAAGGGAATGTTTACAGAAACAGGGTAAAAATGAAACTATGTGAAGCAGAACTATACAGTAGTGGAAGAACAGGAGAATATAAAGGGAGAACTGAACCATAAAATTACTTGTGCCATAGTGCCAAAGTGTATTAATGGTGCATGCGTACACAATGCAAGTGAGAGATAAATTTGCGATGCAAAGTCATCCGTAAAGTGCGAAAAAAAAACCTGCTAATCTTTTCTAAAGTTGACTGCCTGTGTAATGTAATCATCCTGTAGAGCTGTGAAAGTAAAGCTAATCCACTACAAGGGTTTGTTTTTCTCTAACATATTTAGATGTGTAGAATTTCATTGGTATGTATTTCACTTTTTTTTATATAGCCTTTATTTTTTCAGAATGTCTCTGGTGATATAATTACAAAAGAGATCTGACCAAAAAGTAGTTTACAAACAGTTTGATCTGTTTTAATAACACATACAACATTTTATTCATGTGTCTATTCGTGTATGGTAACCCAGTCACATGAATAATAAGACAGAAAAATAAAAAAAAAGTTTACATGCACAAATCTGTTTTCAGTGGATTTTAACCCTCTGAACCCCAAACAGTTCTCCTGTCACATTTTTACTGACTGTGGAGTTTTTTTTTCAATGTTCAATGTAAATACCTGCACCTCTATAGAAAAAGAACAACCATGGCAAGATGTGAAGAGAACTCTGCTAACACAGTTATGATGCCGTGGATTTTAATAGGACAATATATGAAGTACATTTCTTTCATTATTAGTTTTTGACAGAATTGACACAACCTGGAAACAATATGTACAACATTTTTCCAGGTGTCCACAGGTTTTACCAGTACTCAAATAAATTGGAGCTGTGTATAATATTTATGTTTTGCTCCTTAGATTTTTAATTTGCTTTCAAACTTATCTCCTGTCTGCAATGTATAAACACAGTCCTGCAGTTCAGCTAAAAAATCCCCAAATTTGTGTCGTGTATGTGTTGGTCATAGTTGAGTCACTAAAGGCTTTTCAAATATTTTAGCAGGTTTTTGGGTTTGTTACTGAAAATGTTTTTTTGTTTTGTTTTGTTTTTCTTTTTTTTTCAGCAAGTTAACATCCAAGCAGTGTACCATAATATGGCAGTTCTGGTTTTGGGGTTAAGTGTGTTGTTGTAGTTAACTTTTTGGTCAAATAAAATTAATGATTATTAATGGTCATTTTATCATTTTGTTGAAAATACAGTACAGCTTCACAGAGTCTCTAGACACTGTAGACATAATTTATTTTCTTGAACAACGCAAGAATAATTACTTACCCATAGTGGTCAAACTTATAGTTGTAATATCATGAAAATGTAATGTACATATGCAGAGGTTTTCTTATCACAACATACATCTTGGTTGGTCCTGGTTGCTTTAGTTCTTTATATATATGAATATAACTATCTTGATGCTTTAGTGGTAAATTTCTGGCTAGAAGAAGGCTGAAAATATTTTCATTATTATATCGTTCTTCTGTATTATTGCGTCATTGCCTTACTTGAGCAAATGAATATCATATTCTTGGCATAGCTGACTGATCTTAATGTGATTTTCACACACAACGACTTCCAAGTATCCTCCTGCTCTCTCTGCTAGTCAGATATGCAGCCACGCTGAATGTCAGTTTTGACACAGTTAATGTATCCTCGCGTGGTGAGTAATTTAATTGTTCTGGTCAGCGTTATTTTCCTGTGCAGTGACAATAACTTTTTTCAGCTTCAAAGAGAAAATCCCATTGGCATACTTGTGTCTTAGTTCACAGCGAGTCAGTCAGTAAGTGAAGGGAAAGCAGAAAAAATGCTGCTGATGGCAGTTTGCAGGATGTATCTAACTGGATCTGTCAATAAAAGTTCATGGCTGCCATAACAAAAGGCAAAAAATAAGAGCTTTGCTTTCAGGCAACACTGAGATTGCGTAGGTACATTAAGATTACACAGGTCTATGCATACACATAAATTATCCCACTCAATCAAAGTAAGACATCTTTTAACATCTTTCCAAATAACAGCGTACTGTTAGTCGCCTTAAGGTTTTTTGTCATGTATATTTTACTAAGTTAGCGTGATATTCACTGATATTAAACTACAAAATGGGGTGTTTTAAATATGTGGGCCTCCAGCAAGAGTTCCTACATTTGTCAAACCTTTTACATTGAATGTTTGGGTCACTTGGCTTCACTGCAATTTTTGTGTCTAAATGTGGTCCTGAAGTTAACACCTAACCAAATGTTCCGTGGTAAAAGAGTAAAGGTGTTTACTGCATTTACATCACCTCTCCATACTCTCCTATCTTTCTTTATCCTCAAGTTAATTCAGGCTTTTTGCTGCACAGTGAGCCTGATGTTTTTTTCCTATATCAGTGCAGAAAAATGTAAATTAACTTTCACCCTGCCGGTTTTCAAGGCTTCATTTTCAAACAGAGTCAGTGTCATCTTAACCAAACATTTTTAATATCATAACTGCAAAGGAAATTCAGGTTAATTACAGTGATGTCCTCCATGCAAATGCAGTTGGACATGCTGGTGAATGTGTGCAAGAGATAATCAATGTTAATATTATTTTATCGTGGTTCCTGCTACATCAGCTGTGGTTTCAGTAGCATCACTGCTGCTAATGATGATTTTATTTTGATGCACTATGAGAGAAGGTTTTTGAAAAGCACAAGTAAGTGGATGGATCCAAGAAAATTCACTGAATATCTCTTAGAGTACATTTCAGACAGGACACGTTGTCAGATTTCACCATTTATTTTGGAATGACATGGATCTATGTTTTGCGGTGACTCTGCTCGAGTGATGCTCTGGAACAATCTGAGCAAGCATGACACAGACAGTCCCTGAGATCACAACCCCGCCAGCAGAGCCTGAGATTCACAATTTTTAAATGAGCACGGTATGAACACAAAACAAGGAGACCAACTTAAATGGTCCTCATTTTACGAAATCCAGTTTACATAGTTTTGAGGTGCAATTATGAACCGTCTGTGTTCTACAGCCCACAAAATATGAGTACCAACCAGAATTATGATATTGAACCTTTAAAAAGGAGGAGGTTGGGTAGGAGGGGGAGATTTGCTGACCTGTAGAGGCTGGTGTAACAGCGATGTCGTGAGCATGGATCAGACCGAATGAATCAACGCTGCCTCACTTGTAAAGCACGCGAAGTGGGTGGGCTGGACTTCAGTAGTGAACAATTAGACAGAAAACGGCCTTGTGATGTCCTGACTCTGTGCCTGTCTGAACTAACGAACAAACTCCATTTAAATCCATCATTAAGAAATGTAAGGGATGTGGCACACGTGTAAATCTGCCTAGAGCAGGTCGTCCTCAAAAACTGAGTGACAGTGCAAGAAAAAGGCTATTGAGGGAGGCCACCAAAACACCTATGAGTTCTCTGAAGGAATTACAAGCTTCAGTGGCTGAGATGGAAGCGACTGTGCATACAAAGCATTGCCTGTTCTTCACCAGCAGAAGGTTTATGACAGTGGTAAAGAGAAAGCCACGACTAAAAAACACTCTTATTAAATTTCAATTAGAGTTCGCAAGTAGACATGTGAGAGACTCTGCAATCACCTGAAAGAAGGTTCTTTGGTCTTATAAGATCATATTTGAGCTTTTTGACCGTAAGACTAGAAGCTATATTTGGCAGGCACCAAACCATGCATATCATCACACACATCATTCCCACCATGAGGCATGGTGGTGGTAGCATCATGATGTGGAGATGCTTCTCTGCTGCAGGCCCTGGAGGGCTTTTAAAGGTCTAGGGTAAAAATCAATGCAGCAAAGTAAAGCGAAATCCTGGCGGACAACCTGATGTAGTTTGCAAGAGTGTGACCTGGGAGAATATTTGTTTTCTGGCAAGACAGTGGCCCGAAGCATACAGCCAGAGCTACACAGAAATGGTTTAAAGACAACAAGGGAAATGTTCTGGAGTGGCCGAGTTAGAACACAGACCTTAATACAATTTAGAATGTGTACCTGGACTTGAAAATGACTGTAAACTCATGATCCATGCAACCTCACAGAGCCTGAGCAGATTTGCAAAGAAGAATTGAGTAAAATGGCAGCGTCCAGATGTGTAGGCCAATTGAGACTTATCTCCATTGACTTAGACTTAGACTTTATTGTCCCCAGGGGGAAATTCTTTTCCACAGACCAGCCCTTGACTTCCATCTCATAACATGACAATACAAACTACACAGAATCCTACATAAGGGTACACAGAAAGAATAGCATTTCAACACAAAGTACAACATGAAGTAGTATGAAAGACATGACAATGTAGTACT